AGAATCTTTGAAAAGACTCTCCCTGGTTCTCTGTTTTTATCTCCTAACTGATGTTAAGTGAACGTATCTTGTTACAGGTACAAGTCTGGGTGTAATTTTGATGCCATTGTTTAAGGTCATTTCGTGTTTTAACCTAAGTATCAACGTAATTACGAACGCATTCTTATACAGGGAGGAATATTTATCGTAACAACCTTTTGAGAATTTGGTCTTGGGAACCTTTCCTCTTCTGACTGTAAACTCCACCACACCCATCAGACATTAGCATGATCGCCTGTCTGATTTCCTCATCCCCTCCCTCCACCGCCCATCAGATCACTGTGGGTCGTCGGATACCACTCAAGAACCGACAGAACCTGTGTTATGAAGACTGAAAGACTTATTATTATTATTTATATTACTGTTCTATCTCTTCTTCTCTTTTTTTCTATATTCTCCTTCATTCCTCTCTTTCTCTCCTACTTATTTATTTCCCTCCTTCCTTTCATTCCGTCCCTCTTTCTTTCCACCCCCCATCCCCCCACTTTCTTCCCTTCACTCCCTTCCTCCTTCCCACTCTTCCTCTCTCCTAACCTTTATCCATCTCCCCTTGTGCCCTCCTCTCCCTCCCTGTCTCCCTCTCCCCCCCTCCTCTACCCCTCTACCCCCACCTCACCCCTCCCTCTCCCCCACCTCACCCCTCCCTCCTGACTTTTCAAATCAATAGAAGTAATTCTCTTACGATCCACTCGGAGCAGATAATTGACTAAGCCGTTTGTTGAGGTAGTTAAGCTGACAAATAACCATTCCAAAGCTTGAGGTCAGGTCAGGTCAGGTCAAAGATGGAAAAGACTCACAGGAAGAGGATACAATGAAAGAGGAAGTGGAAGAAGAAGAGATGGAGAAGGAAGAAGAGGGGAGTAAAGGGGGGGGGAGGAAGAGGAGGAAGAAAAGGTAGGACAAGAGATCGATAGACAGATGGCCTTCCCTCATCTCCCTCTACCTCCCTCTCATCTTATCCACCCCCTTCTCCTCCTCCTTTCCCTCTCTCTCACCTCCCTCCTTCCCTCTCTCTCTCCACCTCCTTCTTCTACAACTTCCAACTATTCCATTCTTTCCTCACCTCTTTTCCCTCCTCTCATCATACTCCTTCGTCTCTCCTCCTCTCCTTCTCCTCTTTTCCCCCTTCCCCTCCTCCTGCCTCCTCCCTTCCTACCTACTCACCCTATTTTCTCCCTTCCGTTTTCCAACTCTCCCACCCACTCTCCTGCCTCTCACCCACTCTCCCTCCCACTCTCCCCACCCACTCTCCACCCACTCTCCCACCCACTCTCCTTCCCTCTCCGCCCACTCTCACCCACTCTCCCTCCCACTCTCCACCCCTCTCCTCCCGCTATCCTCCACTCTCCCACCCACTCTCCCACCCACTCTCCCTCCCTGCCACCAGAGCGTAATCGCGGGCAGCAATGTTCTAATGAAATTCTTGCCGTTGCTTAACATTTGCATAGCAGCTCCAGAGGTTAGTTATTCATTAAGTCTTCAGATGTGTGTATAGTGATGGTGGTGTGTCGCGGTCCTTCTTGGAGGGAGGGAGGGAGGGAGGGAGGGAAGAGGGAGGGAAAGAGGGAGGGAGGGAAGGAAGGTAGAAAGTGTGGAAGGAAGGAGAGAGGGAGGGAAGGAGTGAAGGAAGAGGGAAAGGAAAGAGTATGGAGGGAAGACAGAGGAGTCCTAAAGATTTATTACCTAACCTAACTTAACTTAATCTAACCTAACCTAACCTAACCTAACCTAACCTAACCTAACCTAACTTAACCTAACCTACCCTAACCTAACCTAACCTAACCTAACTTAACCTAACCTAACCTAACTTAACCTAACCTAACCTAACCTAACCTAACCTAACCTAACCTAACCTAACCTAACCTAACCTAACCTTCTGTATAAGACTCTCTGTGTTGTGTCTGGTCATTGTTTTCCTCTTTAGATTATCACTATGAAATACTTGTTCTTCTGACATTGTGTACATATATAGAGAAAAAATAAATAAAAGGGTAATAAGAAGAACAAGATGAACAAGAAGAACAAGATGAACAAGAAGAGCAAGAAGAACAAGATGAACAATAAGAACAAGAAGAGCAAGAAGAACAAGAAGAACAAGAAGAACAAGAAGAACAAGATGAACAAGAAGAACAAGAAGAACAAGGCACTAAGAATCAACAATTATTCCTTATACACAAAACCAAAACATTGTCTCTATGATAAAAATAAATAAATAAATGATGGCATTGTACAGCAGAGAGCAGCTAGTGATTACAATCCTACCACTACAGGATTACAAACGACACTCACCCCCTCCACGGCTATTGTCTACAGGAGGAGGAGGAGGGAGGGAGGAGGAGGGGGAAGAGGGGGAGGGTGGGGGAGGGTGAGAAGTAAATGCATCTCGTCATTTACCAGATTACAACCACCACATCATTACCACGACATTCACCCCACTCACAACCATTCTCTCGAGTAAGGGAGAAGGAGGAAGACGAAAGAAGAAGAAGAAGATTTGGAGGAGGCGGGCAAGTAAGACAGAGAGAGGGTGTCTAAAAGGAAGAGGGAGAGAAGGAGGGAGGAGGGAGGAGGGAGGTAAGTAGGTAGGTAGGTAAAGAGAAGGGGGAGGGGGAGGAATTTTATTAACGCCCCTGGATGTAAAACTGTCGCCGCGTCGCATCGTGAAGCCATAAATCAAAGAGAAAGGGCGACGCGTGATTCTCCCAAGTTGGGTTTATCAGAGGAGCTCATTTTTGCTGCGGTTCTGGGGCCGATGGCACCTGCGAGCCAGTAATGGTCCTAGATCCTGCTTTGCTATAATTTGCTCATCCCATCTGAGCCACGAGTCGGGGAGGGAAGGGGTGGAGGAGGGAAGGGGGACCAGGAGGGTAGGAGGGAAGGAAGGGGCAGGAGGGAGGAGGAACAGGAGGGAGGAGTAGGTGGACAGGAGGAGGAGGGAACAAAGGGGACGACATAAAAGGGGACAGGAGGGAGGAGGGGCCGCTACCGCCGTATAGCGACTCGCGTGAGGTGGAAAATAAGTGCTCCAGGATGATCTGGGGTGCTGCCTCATACGAGCAGGGGGAAATGAGTGTGTGTGTGTGTGTGTGTGTGTGTGTGTGTGTGTGTGTGTGTGTGTGTGTGTGAAAGGGAAGGATGCAGGAAGATAAAAGATTGAAAGGAAGAATGAGAGGTTGTGTATTTTAGGGTATATGATAGAACAAGAGAGATGATAAATACAGAGAGAGAGAGAGAGAGAGAGAGAGAGAGAGAGGAACATAAACCAATAAGGATAGGCCTATTAGATAAAAAGCCTCTGAATAATTACGTTTTTTTCAGCATATTAAACAAAAATCTTAATGAATATGAAAAAACAAACACTTCCGACTCTGTTTAAATGTGTATGTCGGGGTGGGGGCGGGGGCAGGGGCGGGGCGGGGCGGGGCAGCGGGTTTGCCTCGCTCTAAATCTCAACACACACACAAAAAAAAAATAATTAGAGTATTATAAGTTTCTTTAGATACATTATTTTTCTTAATAATTGTATGTGATTGACTACAGTACAAAAGGTCATTATCTATCCATCTATCATAATCTAGATAACAAGATACAGTTCAAACTAAGGTCTCGTTGTGGCCTCCTCAGTGTTGACAATAAGAGAGAATAAGGTTAAACGCTTGTCTTCACTTCTGACAAGATTTATAACACAAGTCACCAAATCTGTAATCTGTTCTCTGACCACTACAACAACTACTACCACAGGTCTACTACTTCAACCTACCACTATCACTACCAGTACCACCACCAACCACTACTACCTACAGTAACAACCAACAAGTTAAGCATTCCACGGTCATCCCACTACCATATTAGGCATCCCACCACACGTAACTAGATTAAGAAAAAAAAAACAGAAATTACACCTCAGCAATTCCACTGTCCCTTTCTCTCCCTGACAACGAAACGACAATAATCCGGCCGCCCGATGACCAAGCCAACATCAACAATGAACGTAGCATCGCCAAATCTTTTAACCAATGTCCCGCCGATTGAAATACGCGGGTCACGTTATTGATGGAGGCGCGTAGGATTAATATTAATACGAGGATGAGAGGTGCGTATGATGAATATTAATGCGGGGATGATAGGATGAGTATTCGCCAGGTCGATGCCTGTGTTTTGAGCGGTGTTTGACGGGTGGGTGAATTCAGTGGTGCGGCCCTGTCGATACACAAGCCAAGCCACGTCGTGTAACTCCGGGATTAGAATCCACTACGAAGGTGCCAACGCTCTCTTGACTGCTCATCAGCGAGGGGATTCGATCAGATTTGACAGACTGCTCTTGTTTTTTCTTCTGCATCTTAACACCAGGATTAGAATAAACTCAAGCGGTGTCAAACGTTCTCTGACTAGTCATCAAGTGGGGTTCGATCATTCTCGACTTGTTTTCTCGCTCTTATTCTTCACTATAACGTTGAGTACAGCGTTAGTCAGTAGTGGTGAACAGATCTAAACGTTGAGAAGAATCTTGAGTAAGGTCATGACCCCTGATGGAAGTGTTGGACCATACTGATGTTACCATTAACCATATTAGTATTAGTGGTACAAGTGGTCGTGGTCTCAAAACCTCGTAAACTACTTTTAACTTGTTGACTACTAATAAACCCTGAACACATTACTTGTATAAAAAACAAAAACAATTTATATTAATATTTTATTATTTGTGTATTGTTCGTAATTAAGATGGTGACGATTGTTACTGAGATAACCTAACCTAACCTTATTATTATTATTATTATTATTAGTAGTAGTAGTAGTAGTAGTAGTAGTAGTATAATTATATTATTGTAGATAGTAGGTCAGTGATTCGCTCCGGTATATAATAAGACTTAGACAATATGAAGATATGTTTAGACTTGTAAGGGTAATACTGTACACGTGTGAACCCTCGACACTAACCTCCCTGCTCCCTCTCCCTGCAGGTCCTCGATCCCGGCGCATCAAGCGACGTGACCGCAACCCCGAGGAGAAGCGACCTCGCACCGCCTTCACCTCAGACCAGCTGGCCAGACTCAAGAAGGAGTTTGATGAGAACAAGTACCTGACGGAGAAGAGGCGGCAGGACCTGGCTAAGGAACTCGGCCTCAACGAGTCCCAGATCAAGATATGGTTCCAGAACAAGAGAGCTAAGATCAAGAAGTCGACCGGGCAGAAGACTGGCCTCGCTGCTCACCTCATGGCTCAAGGACTGTACAACCACTCCACCGTGCCTGTGGACGAGGATGATCCCTACCTCTGTTAGAGTGACACTGAAAAGCCTGGAGTCTTTTGTGTTGTATACAGTGTGGCGGGGTTACCCCTTGACAGCTGCCTGGCCAAGACCGCTCCTGCCTGCACGTGATACTCAGTCAGGACGGCGGTGGATGACTTAGTAGTTTGTAATGAGAAGACGCGGCGGGGATCTTGTGTTCGTCAGTTCCCGCCGTAGTGTTACTGTCCCCAGGGAGGCTTTCCGGCGGTGTACCCGGAACTTCTGTGTAACATTTACCCAGGCTATCATGATGCCCTAACACAACACACAAACATATACATCGTCTTTAGACCGCTTCTCCGCCAGCTTCACACTCGCTGTCAAGTCCTGAATGGTGTAAACACTATTTTGTCGTCATAAGACTTGAGGCGGGGGGAGAGGGGTGGCGGCGGACCTAAGACGACTAACGTGACACACACCATGTTACTGCCACCCTGATAGGCCCTCATCATCAAGCCGTTGACCCTGAACCCTTATAAACCTATAGGGATCATTACCTGAGCCATCACTACACAGATCTAACCCTCGAAACTTTCTCCAATCCTTCATTTTTTCAAACGATCTCTATTGAAGTATTTTTCTTCAATAATTCTCTTTCATAATCGACTGAGTTATTCCTCACACAAAAGGCTTCTCCTCAGGGGTTTATTTCTCAACGACAAAACTTTTGGGTAAACACTCAACAGTTCATCCTACCAAGTTAAATGTTTATTCTCATACCACCAATCCTTCCCTTCAACGTCTCCTACAGTAACTAATCCTTTCCGGGTCTAAGCACTCCTACACTCAGTTCACATTCCTCTTCCTCTGCCAACCGATCATTCCAGTATGAACGCTCCAGACACGAAAGATCTCCTGCCTGGATGCGGTCAACACCATATACCTGAAGTGGCTCTCAAGACGGGCTGCGGTCAACACCATATACCTGAAGTGGCTCTCAAGACGGGCTGCGGTCAACATCATTCCAGTTACAAGTGTCCAGGATTAAAAGGACGTCTCTCTATGGTCGTGGTCAACAGCAGAGGATTTCCATATTTTCGTGGACGCTAAGCTTCTCCCTTTTCCCCCAACACAGTCTTTTTCTTTTTCCCAGAAGACATCAGCTTCTCCCTTATGTCCACCATATTCTCCTGTCTTCACCATTCTCCCCACTATCTCTCCTTAGTCTTGACCCTCTCCCCACCCCCCCCCATGTCCACCCTCTCCACACCTCGTCCCCTTTCTGTTACCCCTTCCACCACCCCTTCCACCTTTTTTTATAATTTATTCCACTATTCCTTTTAACATTGTTCAACGCGCAAGAGAACGTCAATTGTTAGTGAATTGGTCTCTCACTTGTGTTTATGTCTGCTGAACTTTTTCTGAAGAGTACAAATTAGATTTTAATTTCCCCTACAACACTGATATAAACGCCTACTGTATGATATGGTCATTCTTCTGCGTTGCGTTTAAGTTACCTCGTTTACACCTATATTTTGTACAGCATTGAGGATTATAAAAGTCCACATCAAGTCAAATGTATATAATGTATATTTATCAGATGTTTATATGTTGTAAATACCTCTTTAAATTATTTATATGTCTGTGTTGTCGAATAAACAATTTTTTTCTTTAATCTGTTTAGTGTTTCTTTTTATTTGGGTTCCTAACTTTCTACCTTCGGAACAAGAGGAAGAAAGAAAAGTAAATGATGGAATAAAGAATGAAGAATAAAAACCAGAGAAATTAACCAAAAACGAAAGTAGATATAAAATATTCAGAAAGAACAAAGTCTATAACTGAAGAACAACAGGAGAACAAATCCTAAACTGATTTATTCATCATAGCATCACAGTTTGGGGGAAAATTTTCGAGTCGCGACAAGAATTTATTTACTAATGAAAAAAAAATTATATATCCAACAGTGAAAAGTAATCAAACAGGTAATTAATTTTTTCTGGATCAAATAATTCCATTTTAATAATAACTGAGAACATATTGTAATTATGAATATATTATATTTCAGATTACAAAATAATTTCTATGTAAGAACCTTCTCCTGTGACCCAAATTTAATAATAATAATAATAATAATAATAATAATAATAAGCAAATATAAGACACTGAAAAACAACAGCAATAACAAAAGCTACAATAATTAATACAACATACACTGAAAAAATAACTCGGAGAGAGAAATACAATAGAAAATTAAAACTACCTTAAATTGTTACTCGTATACAAGAAAGGTAACCAATGGAACCTGAAGATAAGAACAAATCACATTACCTTTACATAGTGGTAATTCTCACTCCTTCCTTGTTATCAATAAAGGGTAATTACACCGATGACTATAGATCTTTTTCGTGAAACTTTAAAAGAAAACTGAACCTATATATTAGATACAGTTTATTTAAAGAAATATATATAATTAGAAAGAATCGGATTATATTTATAAGCCTGATTATATATTTTTTCTGAATTTTGAGATTAATTAAAGTGAAAGTAGTTAATTTTTTTTTAGGATTTTTATAATGTTAAATTAAAGTTTGTGGAAGGATATTATTTGTAAGTCTCCGGTTTTTTTAATGCGGGTTTGAGTTAATGATGTAAACCATTGAGGAAAATTATGTTAATGAGGAAATTAATTATATATGAAAAAAAGGATTAAATATAAAAAAAATATTAAATATGAAAAAGTAATTATATATGAAAAAAAATAGAGAGTTAATAGGAAAAATATTATAGGAGGATGTAATATATTAATGGTAAAAAATATAATTAATAAGAAAGAATTTAATTATGGAAAAGTAATTGAGACTAAAGAAATCAATTGTAAAAAAAATATTAATTTGAAAAAAATATATATTATCAGGGAAAAAATAATTAGGTAAAATAAATCTTAAAGAAAAACATACGAATTTAAGATTTTTTTGTCTTCAATATATTTAATAGAAATGGAAATAAGAAGAAAAAGGAGAAATAAGAAGTAAAAGAAGAAATAAGAAGAAAGTGAGATGAAGAACAAATAGATAAAACGAAACCAAAGAAAAAAAGAAGAATGCAAAAATAAAAAAAAGATGAAAACAAAGAAAAAGGGCAAAAATAATCATATAAATGGGAAAGAAAAAAAATTAATAGCCACATTAGTTTCAACAGAGAGAGAGAGAGAGAGAGAGAGAGAGAGAGACCTAACCACCTACAATTTCTAAGGTAACAGGACCCTCTAATTTAAGACCCCCTCCCCCCAACCCCTCTTCCCTCCTTCACCCCCCCCCCTCCACTGCCCCTCTCAACCCGCTGCCTCTTGACGGTACTCCATATACCTGGCCGAGTGTCACCTCATATATCAGGTAGTAGTGTGGCAATAATTAACGTTGTGTTCCTGATAATGAGATTGGAATATTCAGGTGAGTAGGAATCATATCAAATTAATAGAGTTTGGAATTTGCACTCGGGGGCTTATTTTGCAATCAGGACGAGAACGAAAAAAAAAACCATGGAAAATTAAATAGAAGAAATCAATTTGGTTTCCTCGTCATTAAGGCTGTGTGTTACTGTAATTAATCCAGGTGGGAGAGTTAAGGGAGCAGGTAGGACCGTGACAACACCTTCTTAGGGAGTGAATAATGTTCTTGTGATTTGTTTTATAATATTTAGTAAAATAAATCGGTGTGGTGATATATTTGTGGTGGTTAATTCAAAACAAAATGGTTCTTATTGGATGATGAATTAAGTGTGAAAATTATCTGTGAGACAATAAAAAGAGTTAATGGGGACGTGGGTGTATGTTAAATGGACCCCAGTCATATCAGGCTCCGGTCCTAGTAAGCAACAGTCTCAATTAGCCCCTAGTCTTATAAGGCCTGGGGGGGGGGACATCTCTCTTGAAGGTAAATCCCAAATATGACTTCATAAGGACCAATAAAGAAGAAGAAAAAACAACATGATAATTGAGGGAATAAATGATAAGTGCAATAATTCTAGAGACAAATACCACAATAAAGACAAAAAGAAATAAGATCTAAAATACAAGAAAGAAATTACACGTAAGACTGAAGAAGAGGAAGAAGACAAGTGATAAATAATGGATATAGAGAAGCAATGATGGGGGGGGGGAGACAGCGAGACTAAATAAAATCATAGGAATTATATTCACCGATAACTTTTTTCTCTCTCTCTTTCTCTCCATCTTTCTTTTATTATTTTCTTTGTTTCCTTTCTTTACCTCATTTTCTTTCTACTCTCTCTCTCTCTCTCTCTCTCTCTCTCTCTCTCTCGCTCTCTTAATTTCAGAACTAATAAATATAAATTCTGGTAATATTAACTTGAATAAAACTTGAAGGGAAGAAATAAGGTGAATATTCACATTGTAATTCCAGGTATTAATTACAGGTAAGATACAGGTGTTAGCCATAGGAAAAGAATTAAAGGTGGATATTTAGACTAACAACCCGAGTAAAATGCAACAAAGAGAAAATTAATGAAGTCAAATTAATAAATTGATTTCAGAGATTTTAAATTAATTTGTCTCTAATAAATATAAAGGATATAGACAATAGATTTTTTTTTTTGCTTTCCAGACAAAAAAGTAAATATCTACAGTTATTTAAGCATCTATAGAGTATTTGATAAAACACACACACACACACACACACACACACACACACACACACACACACACACACAGTTTATTTAGCCAGAAAAATATAGATACAGAGTCGATGATAATAACAACAATATTTATGTATACTGTACATTTATCTCAAGGAATTATTATGTAACATTTAGTATCATCTGGAATAGTACACGTAGCATGGTGTTAGTAAGAACATATGAGAATGTTACCACAATTATCACTTCGTTATTTATTTATTTTTAATTTATTTTGTTTACATTTATATTATAAATATATACTGTACATATTTTACACTGGAGGGAAGCAATACAACACGGGTTGTGTTAAGGTGAAACAAGGGGACAGAAACAGTGAGGCTCACGTCTTGACGGTAAATATATAATTATTGTAATGGTAATTTCTATCTACCTGACAATATATGATATAATGGTTTTGGTGGAGCAATAAATGTAAGAGTATAAAGTAAGTGTTACAAAATTATTAATACTCAGACAATAGATATTATTTAAGAGATGATTTAAAGGAAGGGAGCGTAGTCTTTGCTGGGATGGGTGGGGGTAAGTTGTTCCACACCTTCACACCATGATATTTTATGGAGGTCTGGGACTGAGAGGAGTGCATGGGAGGGGGGGGGGCTCTTAATAGCTCTGGGTGTGTTAAGTTGTATATTTGATTGGCAGATTTGTAAACAAATAGGGCACATCAGTAAGTGATAATATCCTCGAATTTTAACATTTTCAATTTAGTAAATTGTTTGTTAGTGTTTTAAGTTTTTCAAGTAAGTCCTTCTCTGCATAACTCTCCCCTGTGCAGCGTTCTGGGGATAGGTTTTTGAAGAGCCAGAGGCCCCATAGTGTGTGACAGTGTATCAAGTGTTGGTAAGCAAGATCATAATACATTTCTTTCATTGCTGTAAGAGTGAGTGACTGTCGAGTGTGATACAGGATACCGCACTGTTTATTGACTTTACTGTGAATGGCTTGTATGTGGCTTCTCCAGCTAAGTTTATCATCAACAATAACCCTAAAGAATTTAATATTTTGTTCGCGTTTGAGGAATGTATTACCAAGGTGCAGGGGGTCCAAATCTGGAGGTAAGTTTTTCCTTCTATGAAAGATTGGGTAGGGGTTTTATTTTTCGAGGCTGAACGTCAGTTCATTATATGGTACCCAGGTCCTGATTTTAGTCAATTCAGTATTCATAGTTCTCATTAAGGAATGGAAATCTGAGTTGCTGGCATAGAGATTACTATTGTCTGCAAATAAGTTGTATTTTATGAGTGTGCTGGAGTGGACTATATCGTTTATGTACAAAAACAGTACAGGACCGAGAATGAAACCTTGAGAGACGCCATACAAAATTGGTGAGGAGTGAGATTGATTATTATTATAATAGCAGACATACTGTTTCCTGTTAGACAGATATGAGGTAAACCAATTGTGGGACAGGCCCCTAACGCCGTAATGTTCAAGCTTTGACAGGAAGATGGTATGGTCGACAGTATCAAAGGCTTTAGAGAGGTCCAGGAATATACCGACTGTCAATTGACTGTCATCAAAGGAGTTTAAGATGTCATTAGTAAAGAATAGCAGAGCACTGTCAGTCGACCTTCTAGCTCTAAATCCAAACTGAGAGTCTATAAGGATGTTATTGACACTGCAGATGGAATTTAGTCTACTACATGCTAGCATTTCCAGTATCTTACTCAAGGCTGGGAGGACTGATACTGGGCGGTAATTCTTGAACAGACCTTTATCACCAGATATGCTGGGTGAACTTTAGCAATTTATATACGATGGTCAATCTATGTACATTTTGTGAAGCACCAAGAATGTTATCCCAGGTGACCAGTCTATCCTATATTAAACTTCTCACAGTACAAAGTTATACACACGATGGAGGGGGGGGGGGGGTGTGTACTGGTGCTTCATTCTAATCCCAGTATAACACCTGTTGGCTCACCTGTAATTAGAGTGAAGGTTATTACAGGTACTCGT